TCTCGGCAGTAAGAAATCTGAGGGGTGGTTGGAGGAGCCAGTCTCCCAGTGCTTTGCGGGGGATGGGGGGGGGTGGGGTGGGGGGTAAGGGGCAAGGGTGGTGTTTTTAGCTTTCCTTACTTCAGGGGAGGCGTTCTTGCTGCTCCAACCCAGCTCCCCACACTTCCCTTTCCGGGTGTTATTTTGGCAGGGTTATGTACAGCTTTGAAGCAAAAAGGTCCATTTCAAACCGACAGTATCTTGCAGCCTTGCGCCAAACAGCCATCGCATTTCTCTGGGAAGGAAACCTTACGGCGGTGGTGACTCTTCCTGCTCTTCCTCCTCTTCGTCCTCCTCCTCCTTGTTGGTCCAAGAGCGTGCTTGTTCCTTTCGGGTGTTCGTAACTGCCATATCTGCCTGTGACGCCAGCTGTTCTGGAAGCACCAGACCGCCCCTCCCGGGGCTGCGGGGACGGATCGACGAGGGTGGCAGGGCCTCCCCTCGCCCTGGGCGGCTGACGGCCGGCCGAAGGAAGGAAGGAAGAGGCGCTCATGCCAGCAATAAGCAGACATGGGGACAGGGCATTTCCAGGGCCTGCCCTGCGCAGGGACCGAGGGGGGGCTTGCCGAGGGGCTGGGGTGAAGCCTCCTTCACACCTGCCCTCCTCCTGCTGCTCGCCCCCAAGACTCAGGCCCTCTCTCCTTCTCTCCCCACTCCCCTCCTGGCCGTGGTGCAATATCGCTTTCGCGTCTCTCTCATTTACTGGCTTTTCTGTTTTTGAATTTCGTCATTGTGCTTAAACCTACTTCCCTTCCTTTCTCTTTTTGTACATCTTTTTCATTCATATCACGTGCTACCTTTTCTTTTTTAGTTTAATTCTGAGAATGCTTGGTTCTTGTTTTTTAACTTGTTTCCCTCCAGATCATGTAGGAATTTGTTTCAGTAAATTTTGGTATTATTATTATTATTATTATTAATATTAATATTAATATTATTATTATTATTAATAAATTAATTCAGAATGCCTTTCTGCCCCTGGCCGTGCTGCTTGCCCCCACCCCTTCCTCTCAGTGTTGGCTCTCCTCTTGGCCCAGCGTCTTGGCTGCGGCCTTTCCTACCCTCCTGAGGAAACCTTATTTTTGGTGACTGATCTAAGAATTGGGCGAAGCCTTTGTTTGGAGAGGGTCTCGAATCATCCTTCTGCCTTTGGGACTTTTGGAGAACCACCACCCAGAATTCCTGTTACTGACTTTTTGGGAAGAGTTTTTTTAAAAGGGGCAGTGTGAGCATTACTGCAGCTCCCCTGGATTTGCACAGAAGACGCAGAAGACCAGCAGAGCAAGGTTTTGGCTGAGCTGCCTCCCCACCTTCGTGATGAGTTAAGACGAGGTCTCCTCCTCCAGGCTGGATCAGGACTGGAGCTTCCTGGGGCTGGGGAAGCAGGGCGGCCAGAAGGACGGGGAGGGGATCTGAAGGCGGCCCACCATCCCTCCGGCACCCAAATCCACCTTTGGCCTGGCTTTGGACTCTTGCTTGTTCGTCCTTCTGTTTACGTGACCAGGGAGGTGATGGCAGCCACCCTCCAGCCCTCTTCCAACAGGCTGGGTAGGACATGCCTAGCTGGGCTGTTTTGCAGTATCACATTTTTTAATTTTGTTTTGGTTTTTGGTTTTTGGTTTTTTTAATTGTTGCTTTGTATTGTAGTAATCAGTACTTACAGTATATGTTGAATGTATAACATACTTTGCTATTATTTCTGTTTTTGGGAAATGTCCAGAGTATTTTTCTCATTTATGTTGGACTAAAACAAGAGCCTCCATACACACCAGTCCCCCAGGTTTTCAGTAAATTCTCAGTTCAGTTTTGGGTGGGTGGGTCGTTTGCAACTAGTCACTTAGTTGTTCAAATAAACCCTTGATTCTGATTGGCTCTCAGCTCTGGTCTGGCTCCTCTCTTGCTGCACAGGAACCCGCTGTTGGAGAAGTTGTGCTGCCCAGCCCAGCACCAGGAGTTCGGGGTGCCCATGGGGCATGGTAAAAAGAGTCAAGAGGGTGGCTTGATGGTGCAATTGAAGCTCTGCCCATTTTTCACGTACGGCTACCCTTGACTTTTTTGACCACGCCCTGCAGGGGCTCCTTTGCGTTAGCCCCGTAACAAGTCTCTGCAGGGGGGCTGAGGAACAGTGGTGGGGATCAAATCTCTCCTGGGAGCTGGTGTAAGAGATTGTCCCCCACAAGATGACTAGGGGCCCCTGGTTTGCCATTAGGGCCTGATCAGCAGCAACATGTAGTCCATGGCTCTGGGTTTTGCAAATATCAAGGCCCCAATCAGCCTCAGGACAGATAAAAAGCTGGCCCCCAAGCTTGAGTCTGTGGGATACGGCAACTGACCTGACAGGACCATGAAGAAGCTGCTGTCGGTCTCAGGCAGCATTTCTAGGTAAGCCCAAAGTAGTCTTTCTCCGTCCCAAGCTCTGGAAAACAGGCCGGCCAGAGAAGATGGCACATGAGGAGGAGCCACGCAAGCAAGTTGCTCCCTCTTCTGTTTTGTACCTGCCGTTTGCATGGTTTCCTTGAGGATCCCTCTCCTGGCAACAGGTGGTTCTAGGCACGTGTCCGGCTAACGGGACTGGCAGCCTTTGCCTGCTCGAAGGCTTTTGCCTGAGGGAACCCCTGGTGGGTCCGTCCTGCTGTGCCTGCAGCTCCTGGGGTCCATGCCAGGCTCTGTCAGGGCGTCTGGGTGGCTCCTTTGCTGTAGGGTCCCCTTCCTGGGGAGATTTCCCAAAGCAGGGCTCTGCAAAGGCGCATCGGCTGCTGTAGGAGAAGCATCTCCGTGTTCTCTGCCGGCGTTTCACTTGCTCAGAGTAACAGCTCAAGTTTCCAAAACGGAACTGTCTGTAGCCTTGGAAAACAGTGAACCGCACCAGGCAGGATTTTCATCAGATGAGGCAGGCTGTGGGGAATCCTGCTGCAGAATTCTGAGCTGCGGTTCTCCAGCTTCCCTTTGATTTTGCTGGTGGCAGAAGGGTTGGTGCCTCTGCTCTCCCCTTGCCCCACCTGATGTGGCGATTACTTGCAGACCGGGAGAAGAGCAGGGGAGCCCACCTGCGAGTCTCCCAGTGGCTCCCCTCTGGCTTCCTCAGAAATCTGGCTGTGGGAACACTTGGCTGGGCAACTTTGTCCCAACATGCTTTGGCCATTGAGAAAAGCAGTGCACCCTCCCCAGAAA